CCCAACCAATCGTCAAATAATTGTTACCAGAACACAGGCCTATTTTTCTAAAAACGTCTCCGGTGGGATTCGAACTCTAGACTTGCCGCTTAGAGGGTGACAACTTAACCACTACTCTAAGTTGCCACACCCTTGACGTTAATTAATTAAAAGCTAAACGTTTTTTATTTACAGTGAAATGAAAAAAAAAAATTGAAGTAATATAATTACATATTTTTTTTTTTATATATTCATAGATTACCTATTTTTCACCACTAATTATCTATAATCTTGTAATAACGAATAACGACAAGGTCAACACCATGTCAATTAAAGTAACTGAACTAAAATATGATGACATGCCTTTACTAGGAATGAATGTAGTGATTGTCGGTTATACTACTCAAATGGTTAGAAATGTAGAAGGAAATTCGATCATCAATTTTTTCATTAAAATGAAACTTGGTGACAGAGACCCAAATAGCTTTTGTCTTGAAGTTAAACATAATGCAAATAATACTTATTTTTCTAACAAGACAAATGCCATTAATCAAAGTCTTTGATCTACAACCGCTATACTTGTCGGCATTATCAACTATCATCCTCTAACAACTAATTCTAATGCATCTAATGAAGGAAAACACATTCTAATATTAGAAGATATCTTTCTAATCTCAACAAATCGCATTAACACAAATACTCAAACTATCAACATTCTGTGGTTACAATAAGCAAATGGATCTGCATATACTTCTAATAGAAATAACTATTTGCCTTATGGGGCCGTCCAACTAACTCCACGAAGAAATTGTAAAACTTTATCCCAAATGAGTACTACAACAATATCTACACTTCAAACGGCTTTAGAAACTAACCCAATTCTGAAAATGGTTGACCAACAAACCCCGCAAGATCAAGATCAAACCTACTAAAATGCTCAAATAAATGCTTCTATTTATCAAAATCAAGATCAAACCTGCCAAGATACTCAAGCAAATACATCTGTTCAAGAACCAGACCAAATTGATAACATTGTCGAACAACTTGATAACAACAATTTGGCGAAGCCAAAAGCCAAAAGAGCTAGAACAACTAAAGCTACTGGTAATATTTACCAAATTAATGACAACAAATAAATATTTGACAAAATCATTGTAAATCAACCTTATATTTTCTATTTTTTTTTCTTTCCGTATTCTTAAACAATATAAATAAATACAATTAACATTCTTATTATTCATTATTATAAAACATTATTATAGTATAATAATATGATATGGAATTCATATGAATCTTTATACGTTTTCTATTCCATTAAATAATATATATATATATGCCAAGTTGACCCGATAATTAATAAAATTTTCAATAAAACAAACGTTATTTTATTATTGATAACACATCCTTTAGATAACTATCAACACTCCAACTACCAAGCACAAATACTCTATCCTTTAATACTGGACATTACAAATCTAAACCAAAACCTTGGCTAATTT